CAACTTTAGTACGCGGAGTATCTGGGGAGCTGGAAGATGAGAACTGGCGACTTTGTAGTACAACTTTGGTACGCGGAGTATCTGGCGAGCTGGAAGATGAGAACTGGCGAGCGTGTCGACAAATTAGCTTCGTGTCTAGACAAGCTATCACGTCATAGTTAACGTCTAGCTCCAATTAGCTTTAGTGGAGCTAGATCTAGAGCTATGCTTCACTCATCACTCATCACTCATGCGTCGGACTGACGGACACGAGGGACACGCATGGTGGAAAGAACCGGGACACTCCTATAGGTCAATTTGTTCTTTTCGGAGACTTCCGCCGCCGGCTTGCCCGGGAACTACTTGTATCTTTAGTTTTAGCTTTTTAGCTTTAGTAGTAGTAGTAGTAGTAGTCGTAGTTGTAGTAGTAGTAGTAGAAGTGGTGGTGGTGGTGGTAAGTAGTAGTGGTGGTGGTAGTAGTAGTAGTAGCAGTAGTAGAAGTAAGTCGTGAGTCGTGAGTCGTAAGTAGTAAGTAGTAAGTAGTAAGTAGTAGTAATGGTAGTAGTGGTAGTAGTAGTAGTAGGAGTAGCAGTCGGAGTAGTAGTAGTAGTAGTAGTAGTAGTTGTTGTTGTTGTGGTAGTAGTAGTAGTAGTGGTAGTAGTAGTAGTAGAAGTCGTAGTAGTGGTAGTGGTAGTGGCAGTGGTAGTGGTAGTTGTAGTGGTAGTAGTAGTAGTAGCAGTAGTAGCAGTAGTGGCAGTAGTGGCAGTAGTAGTAGTGGTAGTCGTAGTAGTAGTAGTAGTAGTAGTAGTGGTAGTGGTAGTAGTAGTAGTAGTAGTAGTGGTAGTAGTAGTAGGTAGTAGTATGTAGTATGTAGTAAGTAGAAGAAGAAGTAGTAGTAGTAGTAGTAATGGTGTGCTCGAGAGTGCCCTGCAAGAGTGTTCCACAAGAGTGCCGGACAAGAGTTTTCCACAAGACTGTTCCAGGGTGTCCGGCAAGAGTTTCCTACAAGAGTGTCCCACAAAAGTGTCCTACAAGAGTGTCCCACGAGAGTGTTCCACAAGAGTGTCCAACAAGATTGTCCCACAAGAGTTTCCTACAAGAACAGTTTTGTGGGACACTCTTGTCCGACACTCTTGTGGAACACTCTTGCAGGCACTCTTGTGGGACACTCTTGCGGAACACTCTTGTAAGACACTCTTCTGGGCACCCATAAGAGTGTCCGGCAAGAGTTTCCTACAAGAGTGTCCCACAAGAGTGTCCTACAAGAGTGCTTCGCAAGAGTGTCATACCCGCAAGAGTGAGTGTTGTACATGGGTGTCCCACAAGAGTGACAAACAAGAGTGGCCCACAAGAGTGTCCCGCAAGAGTGTCCCACAAGAATGTCCGACAAGAGTGTCCTACAAGAGTGGCCCACAAGAGTGTCCTACAAGAGTGTCCCACAAGACTGTCCTACAAGAGTGTCCCACAAGGGTGTCCTACAAGAGGGTTCCGCAAGAGTGTCCCACAAAGGTTTCCGAAAAGAATGCGTCCTACAAGAGTGTCCCACAAGAGTGTCTCCTACAAGAGTGTTTGTTTTCGAGTACATGTTTGCAATCGGTTTGGTGAGTTCCATCTTGTTTTTTTTTGCAATGTTATTTGAGAACAGTTCGTTCTTGAATTTTTGTTTCTTGTTTGAGAGTTTGAGGGCACTATGACCACAGACCAGTGTGCTACAGTCTTTATCAGATTTCCAGTTTCTTGATTGGACCCCAATTGGCAGCATGTTTTGAATCGAATGGTGGAATTGGCCTTGAGCGGAGCATCTGCGGAAAGGAGGCAGCACAACAGCAGTTTGGACTCTTCATTGGCATGCTCTCCACCTCAGGCTGGGCCAGTTCGAGGGTCTGAACTTGTCGTGCAATCATGTTTGTACGAACCCACTATAAATATGTGTAATTAAATGGTTCCATCACTGCCACACCTTCAATAGAAGACGGATGGAACTAAACGGAACTAACATACCCTACCCTTACAAACCATTTCAACAACTAACGTCAAGCAGATCCAGGAGGGATGAAACACAAATAACATGTATTAAACTGAAGCATCAAATGTGAAACCATTGGAGGACACATTCAACTGAGCAAAATATGCACTGAACAAATAGAAGTTTCTGAAAAACGTTAACCCAGATTCATTCTTGAGTTCGCTATGCCCGCTTGTATTTTCACTACTGCGCCAGAGCCTCTCAACATTCTCCGAGTCCTCACAGCTGAGCTTTGACTGTGCGGGAAGCAGAAGAGTCGTCGACGGAACTCAACAGAACCGTCTGTTTAGTTCTATACTCTATTTTATTTGCTGGGCGACATAGTTTGTAAGCTGAATTTGTTGAGTTAGTTATATGCCTTTGTAATAACATAACTCTGCTATTCTGACTGGTTTTTTCCAAGTATTCATAGGCTGGTAAACGTGCATGTTGCCGCAGTTGCAATATAAGCCCCATTTGCTTTCGGAGCAAGACCTGGCACAATTCAACTGCAGTTGATTTTGGCAAACGTGTTGACATGTGTTGCTGTGTTAACTGTTCACCATCCCACAGTCCGACCGTTGAAGAGCCCTGACAAGTCCTATGGCAAGTCAGCAGATTGCATGGCTGAGGTGTAGATAGTGTAGATGCAGATGCAGCGACAGACACCGAGGCGTTCGATTTCCTGTCAAAACCATGTGGTGTAACATGGTGCAACACATTTGCTTGGTTTCGCAACAATGTCCCTTGATGTAGAAGAATATGGTGACCCGTCTCCAGGGAGATGCGCGAAATTTGGCTATGCCATTTTACACTGAAGGCCAATCGAACTTGACCATCCTCGAAACACAGACGATGTCATTATTTCATGTTATTTCCTGTGCCAGGCTGCACTACAAAGGCCAACGCTACAAAAGCGAGGGTGCGGGCTTTAAAAGGTTTCTGGGAAGTGGTCAAACAGATGAACACACAAGCTTGCATTGGATTCACGGCGGTGCGCTAGAACAAATCGTTTATGCGGCGTATGCAAAGGTCATCAAGTAGCCTCGGCCGCTTTTGAGAGGAGCCTCAAACCCTGCTTAGATGGATCCATGTTGGCTGGCTTGCAATTTGTTCATTTAAGGATTGCACACCTCCCACATACTGTCACGGTAAACATAATCAAGTTTCCACTTGCCAGCAGGAAAGTCGCGAAGCCAGTTGGAAGCGAAGCGCTCTGAATGTATAGCGCTGTGTCCTCAAAGAGGACGGCATCCAAGCTGTTACAGAACTTGCTGGTGCCGCTAAGGCCACAAAGCTTTGCAACGAGCATAACATGCCATGTCAATGTCCTTCTTTCGCTGGACTCGTAACATCAACACGGTGTAAAGCAGCAGATACAAAGTGAACATTCAGACTCACGCTGCATCAAGAAGACTGTTTGAGGTGATTTGAGCAAGCAGGGAATTGAATACAGTTAGAATTGCACTGCGATCAAGCTGCTCAGAGACAGCATTCTTCCGATGGACAGGATTCTGATGGATTCTGTAATTTATGTTCTCCCAACTCGTGTTTCTACCGAGCCGAGCCTGGAAGAGTGAATCAAGTACAGACAAGTAGGCTAAATAGGTTTCAAGTAGGTCAGAAGTGTATGACGATGCTCGTAATGATTCGGCACATTGATACAGACAACAGATGATAACAGACATACAGGGTCTATGACAATCAAGCGCCAGCGACCCAAGGCCTCATTCATTCCCACCTTACTACCTCTTGCCTCCTGTTTCCCCGCTCTCTTTCCCCTCGTTCTTCCCCTTCCCCCCTCTCCTTAGTCTCCTTCTTCCCCTTCATCCCACCCCACCTGCCTCCCATCCCTTCCCTTCCCTTCCTGTCATTATCATATTACCAAACAATCACCAGCTACTGCTACCACGCCCACAAGAAGCTTGACTAAAGCATGTAGTGTAGTTTACAATGTTTGAATTGCCACCCATTGGCCTTGTCTTTGGCCAATCAATGGTATCATGAAGCATGCCGCACGAAGTTCAGGACAAAAAAATCCTCAAAAGATTATGTAACAGCCAAAGCGTGTGGCTGCTCGCACAAGTACGAGCGTTACTAGAATAGAAGCACCCATGTTTTTCAGTTTCGAGTGTCACAAGCTCTCCTGCAAGCTTGCAGCCCAAGCGGGCCATTTTTCACTCTACACAAGCCGACAGCATATTGAACGTGATTATGTAAGTTTGTTCTCTTAGATCAGCAAAAGATATGGGCACATGGGTCACATTGGCTTTTGTCCCCAAACTCTGAACAGGGGGTGTGTAGGCTGTTGCACTCTTACAAAAAGAATGTTGCAGATGCAGGCTTCCTGGTTGCCACTGCTAATCCAAAGTAAACATTGTTTGTACCAGACCTTGCTGCGCGGTTGCCAGCTTGTGGCTTTACAGAGAAACACTTGGCAAGATGAGATGCGATTCATGCCGTACTTTACTCTTGCTTTGCATGCATGAGTGAAAGCTTGCATCCAATGATTTGATGTTCATACGGTTGCTTTCAATAAACCAAACATGCAGTGCTTCACCTGCTGGAGCACTTTCTGTTGTCATAACGGTAATATTTGAGCTGCTGTTCTTGGCAAGAGGGGACTTGAATTTGGCTCCCGTGCAGCTTGAATCGAATTGTGCCTACATAAAGCATTAAGCGTGTTTGGCGGATGTAATAGATGTCCTCGAGCAGAGCATTCTCCGCCGTGACCAAAGCAACGCTACAAGCAGAAAGCACAACAAGGGGCAAAGCATGGCAAAGCCCTCGGCCAAAGGAGCTGAAGTCAGCTGAAACCCTGGCGCCCCCAGGTGGTTTGTGCTGATCATGTTGAGCCCGGAACAAAAGAGTCTCCTGCTTTTGTGTCGGATGCATATCGAAGCCTGCTGATGTATATTGAGTTGTTATTGTGGAACAGTGCGGCACGATTGGCTGTGCTTGAGATGCATTGCCTGCGTTGCAAGGGTTGTGCTTCATGGGCTTTTGGAAGGTTTCAAGTGAAAGGCTGGGACTCAGGAAATGGGCTTTGACGGCTCAAGCAAAGCCTGCTGGGTAGGAGCCAGACCTTCTTTAGGCTGCCAGATTGGAGCTTCGACATGTAATTTACCCCACGGATTTGTTTGCTCGTGCCATGACTGCAGGTCATGCCAAGGAAGCAAAACAATAAAAACATTCAGAAGATCTCGCAGATGACACTTGAGCGACTGACAAAATTGTGGGTTGACTTGTTTAGTCACGGCATGACCCTAATCTATGTTGAGGGCTTTGTTTCTGTGGAAAACGATATGGTCCCCACCAAAAACGATAATTAATCTTGTTAAGATGTGTATATATGTATATAATGGGTAACAAGACCTTTGTTGTTACAGTGCTTTGTTGCATTTCCATGTGTATTTGAGCTAAACTGATGGTGGGCAAAGCTGGTTATCAATGCTTTGCCTTAAACCAATTGCATTCTGTTGAAAAGACCTGGCAGGATTCTTTTTCCGAAGATGTTTCTTTAAAAAGCAACTTCCCAAACGATCATCCAAACGATAAGCGAACGATCACCTACATGTCCGTAAACCTACTTCTCCACATTACTAGTTTTTGTTCACTAGGTCCCCGCTTATGTGTTGTGATCCTTGCACAGGCCAGCGCCACAAGAATCCAAGTGCATAAAACAAGTGCTGTGCTTTCCCTGTGCAGAAAGCACTGTAAGATACTGTAAGCCTTTAATCTGAGGTCGTGAGTTGTATTTTGTGCCGGTATGCTAAGTATGGTTTGAAGAAACATTGAAACGATATGTACCCCACCAAAAATGACAATCATGTCACATGATATTTGTCTACACAAGTACTTTTGTCCAATGCTCATTTGTTCAATTGGCGCACAATCTGCACCGGAGTTCAATGGATTGGGGGCTGTTGCTCAAGAAAAGTGGTTTCCTTGAGCGCACATGTCACCAGATCAACTCATACAACACGGCAACACCGAGTGCTTTCAATTGTTACGCTGCTGGGAGGGCTTGATGGCACTGGCTCTACCATCTTCTAGGTTTGCGGCCAAGATTTGACACTGATGATGCATCATTATTGTTCTAATTGCTGACCTGCTGTGAGAGATTCATGCGAAGCAAAGTTGTTGGGCATCTACTACCGTATAGTAATGTTGTATGTGGCATTGAAGGTTTTCAAAACATGAAACGTATTCATATGCATGAATCTGTATGGTGTTACATCTATATAATTAGATTCCTGAGAGCACAGGACACCAGCAGGCATGAGTAGGATACCGCTGCTGTTGCATGCTACTATTGCGTATTCCTATGCCGCTTTCCTCGTTGTGATGTCATGCTCATTGGTTTATTTGTTTTCCCCTTATTTCTTTGTTTTGCTTTTCTTGGTTTGCCTTGCTTGTGTGGCTTGCGCAGTAGTTCTCAGGACGTTGTTTTTGTTCATGCTTGGAGCATCGTGTCGAAAGTGCAAAATCTATATAAAGGCAAGAAAAAAGATGCATTTCATTGTTACTTTTGGTCTTAGGATGCCGTACGGCTTACGCCATTCTGGTAACGGTAAATGTGGTGCTTCTAACACTTGAAAGGAGCCTTGACCCGCTTGTCGCCCGCCGCCTCAAGCCACAGCCCCTTCGCGGATGAAAAGTCCGGCCGCTAGGTTCTTTGAGTGGTAGACGGAGCGTCTGGTCGGTCTAGGGCGGCGGCATCGGTGGCGGCGAGCGGCGCGGTGGTGGCGAAGGGGTCGATGCCGACCTGCTCAACCATGGTGGTGATGGGCGCCGGGCGCGGCGGCAGCGGGAAGGGCACTTCTTCCTCCGGAAGGTCATCGGCACGTTCGGTGGATGAGGCCGGTGGGGTGTTGGCTGAGGAGGATCCTCAGACGGTTTGGCATTATGTTGGGGACCCTGAGTCTGAACGGTGGTCGTCTTCAGAAGGGAACAGCTGGCATGCTGAGGAGGAAACGAATGAGAACTGGAGTTGGGGGTCCCATGCATGGAGCTCTTCAAACACGTCTTCGGAGAACTGGGACTGGTCGAGGCCAAGGGATGCTTGGTATGAGTGGCATCGAGACCGTGCGGTCTTGGGGAGTGAGGTACACGTTCGAGGGAACGATTCGGGACACCGGGAACGTTCGGGAGTACTTCGCTCGTTGACTGGACGGGGACAAGGTGATCCTTGGGGAGATTATCTTCGGCACGAAAGGGGACCTCGCGCCGGAGGTGATCGTATGGGGCGACTGGATAGCCAGTCGAGAGAAAGAGGTGAGTCACCCACCTCACCACATGGAAGGGATGTCTCCGGAGACCTTCCTTCAGGCGATCCATCATCGGCTGGTCAGGAGAAGGAGAAGAGCGCCGCTGGTGATCGCAAGGGGCGGATATCCTCTAGCTATCCGCCTATCTTCCGAGCCAAACCGGGTGAGTCCTACAAGGAGTGGAAGAGGGCAGTTGATTTTTGGATTGGAGGAGAAGCTGGTTCCTTGCTCGAGGAGCTGCTTGGCACACGAGTCATGGTCCAACTTCGAGATCGAGCTGGACAACTGGTGCACCATCTGTCTAATGCTGATGTGAACAGGAAGGACGGCCTGCAGGTCATCTTCCAGACGCTGGAGAAGTCGCCGATCATTCGGCAGCTTGATCGCCACAAGATAGACCAGCACCGGAAGCGGTTGATGCAATTGAAGAGGTTGCCAGGTGAGTCGATCGAGTCCTACGTGACCCGCGGCAGCATCTACCGCACGCAGTTGCAGGCCCTGGACAACGACATGCAGGTGGGTGAGTACTTCTTCACTGGACACCTGCTGGATGGCGCACGACTGACTCGTCGAGACAAGGTGATGATCCGCACCAGAGCGGGTTCCGACAGCGAAGAAGCCATCACCAACTCCATGATTGAGCTTGCACCTGAACTTGAAGGTGAACATGGTTTTGTGATTGGATCTTCAGAGCCCAATGTTGCCGCCCGGTGCGGCGATGAGTTCCTGGTCCAGCGTGGTGACAAGACCAGGAAGGATGCGCATGCCATGGACTTCGGTGGAGGTAGCTTGTGGGGCATTGAGGAGGAAGAGAACCTCGATGAAGAGCAGCTACCTCCTGAGCTGACCCAATTTGAGAATGAAGCTTTTGCCATGCACTTCAAGATCCCCGTCTGTTAGGGCACTATTTTTTCCTGAGGCAGGAGGTCGTTTTATATAAATTTTGATCTGCCCGGTTGGCTCCCACAATTATCTCAATCCACAGGATTTCATAAAGATTGCATGGAAAATCAGCTTCAAAGCAGGATTTCATAAAGAGTGAAACTACAGCAGTTTATAAAGACTGAAGTCTTTCTCACAGCTCTTTCACTTACAGGATTTCATAGCCACATATATTAATCATATATAGCTGACCTTGGAGCTGTCCTACGTGAAGCCATTTTGGCACAATGTTGGCGACCGTCGACACCACAGTTTTAGGAATTTATAAGTATAGAGTTCTGCCATTCCCGGGGAACCCCCGGGCAATTCATTGCCTTTCACGCTGCCACAAGCATGCTTCAGCCACAGGATTATATAAAGAATCAGCGTATCTTGATGAACCTAGGACTTCTTATAAAGTCTAGGGTGCCAGGGTCACCCGTCCAACCAACGGGGATCTTCAAGGCCCGCCAAAAGATTGCGGAAGTCAAGAAGCTGCGACAGTACTTCAAGCGGCCTGACGCTGATGAAAGGAAGCGTCTTTTGGCCGAGAAGATGAAAACATCTCCTTGTCACAAATGCGGCGAACTAGGCCATTGGTCTCGGGAATGCCCACAGAAGGGAGCCCATGGTGTCAACAACACTGGCACCAAGACCGATGAGAATGAGTGGACCGCCCTGGCCGCTTTGTGCACCTTTTCACCAGATCCGAAGCCTGCCGGCTCGCGATATGAGGAGCACGCCTGTGGAGCTGTGTCCAGGAGCGCTATGACCTCCCCCAATCATGAGAGTTTTTGGTGTCAGCGAGAACTGCATTTACATGTCATACTAGATTTGGGATGCGTCAAGTCAGTGGTTGGCACTCAATGGATGAATGCGCTCCTGGAGGAATGGCGGAGGAAGGGTCGTTGGGTCCGGGTCTTCCCAGAGAAGGAGGTCTTCCAGTTTGGGAATGGTCAATCCCTCCAGAGTCGTTTTGCGGTTCACTTCGAGGCAATTTTGGCGGCTTGTCATGTGGTGCTCGCGTTCTCGGTCGTGCAGGGTCATTGTCCCCCACTTCTTTCACGACATGCATGCAGTCAACTTGGCATGAGTATCAATTGTGGCAACCACACATATAGTTCTTTGAAGATGAAAGTGAAGAACTTTGGCCTGTCTCGAGCAAGCAACGGACATTATTTGCTAGCAGTTGATCGGTTTTTGGAAGGGAAGCGAACTGAGTTGCCGGCTGACTTTCGAGTACCTGATGGTTTTGAAGCTTATGTGGTGTCACCGACTGAAGCTGTGATGTTCGAACCCGGTGATCGTGACATCGCAGGCCCCGTAGAGAACTTGTCCGACCGTGAGCCACATGTCGAGCAGCAGCGCTTCGAAGAAGGACGTCATCGAGAAGGCTTGCCAACTATGCGGGGACGTGGGACACCGCCCAAAGGAGTGTCCGCTGCTGGATGCCCTGGAGGAGGAGGAGATCGACATGCCGATGACTCGCAAGCTGAAATTCGAGTCGATGGGAGTCAAGCCGCGGGTCAAGGCGGCCGAGAAACGCAAACCGGCTCCAGTGCCCATGTCCTCCTTGCTGAAGGATGCCCAGATAGTTCCAGTGGCCGAGGAGGAGAGCACCGACTGGTCGGTGGTGGAAATCGAGCTGTCGCCAGAGGAGAAGAAGATGAGAGGGAGAAGGCGATGAATGCCAAGACCAAGAGGGAGAATCAGAAAGCGCTGACGGGTCAATATGCGGACTTCCCGTCACTGTCGCGAACTTGAAGCGTGGAGATGCCGCTCAACCTGGTCGGGGCCATCCGCTCGAAGATGTTGAAGCTGCTATGGCAGGCTCGAGTCAAGGAGGCAGTGGAGACCGTGCATGCTGGCGCCCGCTGGAAGAAGAATCCCCGCTGGTTGAGTCAGATGTACGGCAAGGAGGTGGCCTGGGTGTGGGGCCACGTAGGCGCACTGCGACAGAAAATCAACAGCCCGCAGGTGTATCCCCTCTTCGGGTGAAGAATCTTCAAAGAGGAGAGGCGCAGTGGATGAAGAAGAACGCGATGGAAGTGTTGGCCTTGGCGAACACGATCAGGGACGTCGCCAATAAGGAGGATCGCTTTGTGGTTCGAGCTCTTCGCTGGAGTGGCACGATTGTCAGAGATTGGGCGCCTTGGTGCTCCTGGATGAATTTGTGCGCTGTGGATGAGGTGGAATCCAAACGAGCCGCGCACCTTCCCCTGTGGCGCTTTGCGAGAAAGGTGTGGGACAAGCAGGACAAGGCTGGGCGGCTGGTCTTGACGGAGCAGCCATGGCTCTCAGAGGCCTTAAATCTGACGTTCATGCAGGCCAGACCGAACTGTCATCGAGCACAAGTAGATCAATGTTGCTTTGGTCTCAAGGACAAGGTCAATGGCAAGCCTCATCGCAAGCGGACTGCTTTGGATGTGAATGATCCCAACTTTGCAAATGCCTTGAGACGAGGCGCCTCGTGCAGGCATGAGAGAGGGGAGTACCAAATCATCGAGGGTAAGGTGTGGTTCCAAGGAGTGTGGCAGAACCGATCCCAACTTGCTGGTGTGGCCGGCCGGCCTTTGTAGCCACATTCTGGACAGTGCTGAACACACCCTGCATCTCTCGGTGGCTCAACCACATCACACCCTTTGCGAAGAGGTAGAGGATATCAAGCGGTGGGAGTGCTGCGCTGTCAATCCAGGTGATGTACCCGAAGGAGAGTTAAGACGTCAGATGGCTGAGCTGGGAGTGGCAGCTGACCGCTATGGGTACATCACGTATGAGGGTGCTGGACAGCAGGTGCCGAGAAGGATTCGTGCAGCAGTTGCTCACCTACACTCTTCGCTGGGGCACGTGTCCAATGAGCGTTTGGTCCGCATGCTGCTGTTGAGCGGGGCGGGCGAGCAGATCTTGTGCGCAGCTCGCAATCTTCGTTGTCAGATCTGTGCCATGGTTCATCCCCCAAAAGATGCGCCCCAGGTCTCCGCCCAGAAAGCCAAGTTCTTTAATGAAATGTTGAGCGGTGACTCCTTCTATGTGTGGGACAGCAAGGGTGACAAGTTCGGGGTGGTGCATTACCTTGATGCCATGACTACGTTCCACGTGGGAGACGCTTGTGTGAACCCGTCCTCGACCTTTGCTGCATCTGTCCTCAGGGACCAATGGTACAGTGTCTTCGGCCCGCCGGACGTGCTCTACACAGATGCTGGAACGGAGTTCGCTGGCACGGTGGCAACCTTGAACGAGGTGATGGGCGTTCTTCATGAGATCGTGCCAGAGGGCGCCAAATGGAAGCTCGGCCAGGCCGAAAGGCACGGCAGCATCTTGAAACTCATGGTGATGAAAATGACGAAGAGTCATAACCTGGCCGGGTTAGACGAGATCCGAATGGCTGTCACATCAGCCTGCGCTGCCAAGAACCGCCTGGTGAACCATGGCGGTGTGTCACCTATGCAGGCAGTTACTGGTCGTCAGGCTCTGCTGCCATCATCGTTGATGGATCAACTATGCTCAGGCCGCATGCGCTTCGTGGTGAACCAGGAGATTAGCCGGGAAGAAGCTTTGCAGAGGGCCGAGCGGATCAGGATTGGAGCAGCAGAAGCATTTCACTGGATCGACTCTCACGAGACCTTGCGTCGTGCCTTGGCTTCGAAATCCAGACCGCCAAAGCTGGAGTTGATCCAAGAAGGTGCCACTGTCTTCGTGTACGACCCACCCGCAAATCGTCGCGGCCTTGCCAGGAGAATGCAGGACAATGTGAGTTGGTCGGGTCCGGGCATCGTCATTTGTGTGGAACGTGACAAGGAAGTGCCCAAGCGAGTGTGGGTCCGTCTGAAGGGTCGAGTTCGATCTGTAGCACTTGAGAAGGTGAGGTTGGCTACTCCGGATGAGATGGTCAGCGGACACTACATCAAGGAGGCCGTGGAGGACTTGCAGAAGGAGCTGACCTCGGGCAGAGCTAAGGCCATTGTCGACGAGGATGAGGAGAAGCCGATGGATCGTCATCGAGTGCTTCGTCTTCCAGTTCTGAAGAGGAGCCAGAAGCTGATGAGCAGCCGGAGATGGAGGTGGATCGAGAGACTGATCGAATGAGGTTGGAGAAACGACTTCAACATGATGTACCTCTTCAATTTCGAAAGGATGAAGAGGAAGATCCGCATGCCTTCCCTTTTGAGAAGAAGCAAAGGCTCTTTGAGAATCTGGCCAAGCAGCTGGGGGCGCCATCGCCTACGCAAGAAGTTCAGGTCCGACATCAACTTGAGGAGGCCGCCCAAAAGCTCAGGAAGGCGAAGCAAGAAGCCAAGGGCGTGAAGCAGTCGGGCAAACTCAAGCCCAAGGAAATCCATCGAAGGCGGGACGCTGCAGCTGTGGGACGACCGGCCACGCCGAGCCAATCGTCTATGATGGATCCTGCAACGTAATTCCGACGAAGCCAATATCGGTGCAACAACATCATCAGGCCCATCCTCACCTACGACCTCCAGAGACCGAGCCAGAGTTGGGCGAGCGATCTCACTTCCGGCAGATGGAGACCGGTCAAGCTCTGGATGAGGTGTTGCTCCAGAAGGCGCTGTGGACAGAGCCTTCAACCCAAGCACGTGTGCAACAGCTGACGGATGCAGCTGCGACACAAGTCCGAGAACAGGCCAAGAGCATTCTGGAGGGTCAGATCATCACCGGCAAGGAGCGCTTGGAGTATAACTGGAACCAGTTGGAGGAGGACTGGCGCCTGGCCTATGTGGCTCCTTTGAAGAAAGCCTTTCATGTCTACATCGAGCACAAGGCCGTTGCTGGCGTGCCTTTGGACCAATATGTGGATCCTCGCTACATCTTGCCGTCAAGGATGGTGCTGACCAACAAGGGCGGCAAGAAACTGGCGGAAGCATTGCTAAAGGCTCGCTGGGTCTTTGGTGGCCACAAGGATCCGGAAGCTGGAGAGCACTTGACCGCTGCGCCCACAGTCAGCCTAGTGGGGCACAACTTGTTGGTCTTCATTGCTGTTCAGATGAGTTGGACCATCATTTATGAGGATGTGAGCGCAGCTTTCTTACAGGGCCAGCCTCTAGCGACTGAACGGGAGATCTATGTTCGACTGCCCACGCAGTACCCTCCAGAAGTCCTAGAAGAGCTCTATGGCATGATCGGTGAGGGACATCGCCAGGACATTGTGAGGCTCACGAAGGGAGGCTTCGGATTGCCCGAGAGTCCACGCCTTTGGTACCTGGAATACCGCCAGACCCTGAAGGACTTGGGAGGCCACGAACTTCGTCTTCTACCAGGGTTCTTTTGCTTTTATGATGAAAAGGGGGTGCTCCATGGCATGGCTTGCATCCATGTGGATGACACGCGCTACGCTGGTGCGCCTACGGCCGAACCCATATGGCAGGAGCTACATCGGCGTCTTCGCTTTGGTGATCGTCGTGACGGCTTGGGGGGTTGGACGAAGTTTTGTGGCAGGTATGAGCGGCAAGATCCAGTCACCAAGGAGGTGGAGTATAGCGTGGACGAGTACTGCAAGGACATCCCGTCGGTTCCTGCACGGCTACCTGGAGATTTGGAGCGACCTCTGACTCCGGTGGAGCGCAAGAACATCAGCTCGGTCATTGGGCAGATCGATCAACTGGGCTGCAAGACAGTGTCGCTATGACTTGGCATATGCGGCATCTCACTGTCAGCAGCTGGCGGGACGTCATGACCCGAGAGCCTTGTTCTGGCTCAACCATGTTGTGAAGCGGGCGCAGAAGCCCATGACTATGAAGGTCGTGAAGTTGAACTGCAGCATTGAGGATATGGTGGTGCTGTCGATCAGCGACGCGGCCTATGGAGCTCAGCCTGAAGGTGGAAGTCAAGGAGGTTTGCTGATTGCCATTGCAAGCCCTCGGATCTTGGAGGGCGAAGCTCCCATCGTGTTGCTGGAGGGAGCCAGTTCCAAGTTGAACAGGGTGGTTCGTTGTTCAATGGCAGCTGAGCTCTCCCAGGCGGCGACGGCCTACGAGCATGGCGACTATGTTCGCGCAGTGTGGGCCGAGATCATGAGGAAGGACTTCGAGCTCCATGTATGGAAGTACTGGGCCAGCAAGTGGCGACGCTTTTTGGTTTTGGACGCCAAGGTGGCGTATGATGCCCTGCAGTCGGACAACACTCCGACAGACAGGAAGTTGATCGTGGACATTGCGATCCTGCGTCAAGCCCTTGAAGAGCCAGGAGCAGGGTACGGTGGGTCCCCGGCCGGGAGATTCCATCAGATGGCTTGACGAAGCAGTATGGGAACCATGTCCTCGAGAATGTGATCACGACGGGCTGTTGGTCCCTCTGTGACACAGAGGAAGCTTCCAAGCTCAGACGCCAAGCGGCGGAGCGGAAGAGACAAAGTCGCAAGCGGGTGACCGAGGGGGTTAGGACTTGAAAGGAGCCTTGACCCGCTTGTCGCCCGCCGCCTCAAGCCACAGCCCCTTCGCGGATGAAAAGTCCGGCCGCTAGGTTCTTTGAGTCTAACAAAGGGCGCTGGCCTCTAGTCGGCCCTGACCACTGGCGACAGGAACCAGCCCTCCACCCGAAAGCGGAACTTACTACAGTAGATACGATATGTGCTTGAACACCACGGTGCATTCCACAGGCAAGGCAAGGTCACTTCTAAGCTTGACCAATGTTGATACGTGCAAAAGCAATGTTGGAAAACTAGCGTCAATACCTGGATGCAACAACATAATCAAGTTCATTTGCGCAGAACAAAAATGCAAGCTCAATTGTCATCGAAACGTCCAGATCTCCCCACTATTGCGATCCCACACATGCCTTGCGGAATCTTCGAAGGATGCAAATCCATCAGGAAGCACTAATGCGACTGGTAGCAAAAGCCAGTAAGGAAAAACGAAACTAAAAAATACAAAAACATATGCGACTGTCTCCGAAGTGCGACTTTGGTATTTTGGTTTTCTGTACTACTTATGGTGTGAACATCTTTGAAGCACTCAGGTGCTCCGCGCCGTTGGCATGGAATCCAGTTCGTGTGGCAGTTCGCAACGTTCAGCTAAAAGGCGTTTGCTTTCATAGACTGTTCAGCTAAAAGGCCCGTCGTCGCAGACCAACTGCAGGCCGATCCCTCAAAAATATTGCTTTGGGCGCAATTCCGGTCCAGATCCAAGACATGCTGATGTGGGCAGTTTGAGCAAACTCTCACAGAGGTCCTGCCATGGGTGACATTGACCAAGAGATATGCCCTACGAGGACAAGTGGCAAAACAGCAAGGGCAGTGAACAGTGTTGAATCTACTTATAGGAGTTTGTAGGAGCATTCACAGGTGCAGCAGCGTGTTTTTCATTGTTGTCCTCAATTGAGGAAAGACCATTCGCCAAAAAGCTTTTGAAGACGAGCTGGGTGTTTGAGACCAAGAGCCTGGGAAGTTTTGCTTGTTATACAGTACCATGTTGTACCATGTTATACCATGTTATACCCGGCCGTTGTGGTTCAAGATGCGTATTCTCATGCCAGCCAGGTCCAGCCCCCATTGGGGTACTTCGATCCGTTGGGCATCAGCAAGGATGGAGACTTTACTGAGCTGGAAGCTTGTTTTTTGAGAAGCGAGACCTTGTCAAACGGAAAACTGCATAAAGCAGAAGGAGCTCGCTGGACCCAATATGCAAAGCCATCGGAGCATTCCACAGGTTCTACCGCCGTCGAGAGGCTGAGATTAAGAATGGCAGAGTTGCCATGTATGCAACCATAGGCGAGGCCTGGGCAGCTGGTGCAGCGATTTTGATCATGATCACTCATGTGATCGCTTGGCATTGCAGTGAAGATTTGTTCATCGGAAAAGAACCAGAGGTATAATGTGGATGGTGCTGCATGATTGCAGAGTGCTGCAATGCTGCAATTCTCGCTTTGCATAATTTGCTTGATGCTGCATGTTTCAGATTTGGCATGATTAATACTTGCACAGAAATAGTACCGCGGATGTTGTAAGCTGCCACAAGTGGACAAATTATATACTGTAAGTTGTTGACAACAGTAGGGAACTGGAAAATCCAAATTTGGAAGAGTTGGCCACCGCAAATCGCAACAAGTTTTGACAGGTCACCACAAATTCACCAAATGTTGGCAGAGACAACACGCTAAGCATCATCACAGGGCACAGATCGCCGAAGCATTACCACACAGCAACACCGAAATTGGCGAATTACGGCAGAGCAATGATTCTAAGCTTTTTTGTCTGCACATTAGGCATGCGCATGCACACTTCTGACCCGAGCTTCGCCGGAGATTAAATACTTTCGTTGCTCATCAGCCGCCTATTGAATGAAGCAAGAAACTGTGAGCGAAGGCTACATTGTTCCTGAATATTTCCGCTGGCCTGGTTACCTCTCACCAACAGAGGAGAGCAAGTGTGCTGTCCTGCTTAGACGACTTCTTGTTGTTCGTTCCAAGAGTATCGTTCTATTTGCTTGACATGTTCATTTTCTCGCATCAAGCACACTGAAACAAAGAAGAAACAAATGTCTTATTGTAAATCCTGATCGATTTTCGACACGTGCATGCAAGATCCAAATGTTTGCTTGCAAATTGACAAAGGGAGGTTCACAGTGCAAAAGGTTAAAAGTTTGAAGACAGCAGTGCAACCTGAATGTTGACTTTGACAGCAATCAATCCCAAACCTTGATGCAGGACCTCACCTTCGAAAACGTCCCAAACGGCCTCCAAGCTTTGCTCAAGGCACAGAACACAGACCATGCGGAGCAGGGTTTTTTGTTGGATCGTAGACCTACTATAGAGTCTACAATAATAGAATCATGTCATGGAGTCGTGTTGTATATCATCTTGCCTTTCGACCCATTTCAACATGTGTGCGTCCAATCGTGTGCCAAACAGAATTGCAAAAGCTCTGAAAAGGTGGCCCGACGGTTTACAATTGAATGTGTGTGCATTTGCATGCAGGTTTCGTTGACCGTTGACAAGTTTCTTGACTCAAGCACCTTCCCATTTGCGCCAAAAAAGGACTTGACGGTTTTTAGCGACAGGGCTTAGCCGGATATGGTAGCGGAGAATAACGTATAATAACGACGGCCAAATAGATAGAAACTTTTTTGGCAGGGTCCTTTCTATGCTTTGGATTGGCACGCTTTTTTTGAGCATTGGCTTTACGTTTCTATCTTTTGTATCCCTGCATGTTTCCAGCAAGCGCTAGTTTTTTCCTTTCTGTGCTCTGCATGTTTTGCTTTATGATCTCACTTTGTCCTGAAACGCTACAGTAGTGTTTTTTTTTCGTTTCTGTGCTCTCTGCATGTTTGCTTTATGCTCTCGCTTTGTCCTTAAACGCTAGTTTCTGCTAGTTTAACCTAAATCTAGCTATCCTTTCACTTTGTCATATCGTTGTTTTTTCTGTCATGTGTCTAGATGTGCGTTTCTTCTATTTTTGGTATCTATGCATAAAATCCCTTCAAAAAGTAGTTGTCCTTTCTCAGGTTATGCTTGAAACATACGGTGGGTGGGAACACATGGCGGCTCTCATACAAGCAAAGAAGCTGCGGACGGTCTGGCTTAGTCCAGATCGCGGGCCATTCGCCCCCACGCAGCACCTCAACAAGAGAACCGTGGAACAAAGAAGAAATCTGAAGGAAGAACAACGAAAGTTGAGCTTTCGTGATCGAACTGAGTTCGCGACGCGAAGGGTGTAAACAGGCAGGCATGTTTTGTCAATTGAACTTGAAGGATTCAATAATATTATTTCGATAAAAGGTTGGAGGTTGAAAGGGAACAACAAAGATTTCATCTCTCACATGGGTTTGAGATGCACAGGAAACCATGATCATGGGATACGCGAGGGTTCACACATTTGCAAGAAACAGACTTGGACACTGTTGGACCTCGGACCGGACCAACAACTTGACGGACGATGTGGTGTTGAACCCATTCAAACCGACGCCCGCAATGAAGAACGTAGTCTTTAGTCGGCTCCTTGCTTGGAGTTGGAAAATATGTCTTTTTAGCCACTGGACACTGCAGTCAGCAATACTTCTGCTTTGAAATACAGTGGAGTGGACATAGGCATTTTGTCGCTGCTTGGTTTTCGATCTTGACTGTGATGTTCGCAAAGACTCTCAACGAATTGTTCCCAGAAACAGGGCAACCTTGGTTGACAACCCTCAAAAGTCTTAAAAGTGGCCTAGGGTTCCAATCGATGGGGTGGACTGGCACCGTCCAGAAACGGGTGAACCATGTCACTTTCTGCTCGCAATCAACGAGGCGCGAAGATTTCGCGTCGGAGAGCATGTTCACGCACCTGAAAGCAGTTTCCCCTGCCGCTAAGGCTCTCATCTGTTTCTTTGAGGCTCACTGGCTTCCGGTTTTTCCATTGAGCTCGCAGGAGGTGTGCATTTTGATTTTCCATTTTGCAGCCACTTGCTTGGGCAGCCACTTGGCAGCCACTTGCAACCAAAAGGCTCGCAAGCAGCTGCCAAGTCACGAGATTACTCAAAGTTCTTCGTGTAAAAGCCGTGGAGAATATTAAGATTTCTTCGTCAATTCGTCGCCAGCCTTTTTGCAGAAGTCCGGGAGTTCTTCTCGGAAAAGCCTCGGAGAAAATCGCGATTTCTCCGCGCGCAGCTCTGGAGAAAACCGTGATTTCTTCACGGAAAAGGGTCGAAGAATCCTGGCTTTCTCCAGAGCTGTGCACGGAAAAACTATGTTATTCTCCGGACAAAAGTAGCCGTCACTTGCAGCTACTTGACAGTCACTTGCGGCCACTTGGCTGCCAAGCGGCTGCAAGTGGCTGCAAGAGCAAGTGGCTGCAAGTGGATACCAAGTGGCTGCAAGAGCAAGTGACGGCAAAACCGAAAATCAAAATGTACGTCATTTGTTCGCTCTTTGGGGTTTTTCCAGATCCTGATGCTCTTCGACTCGATGAGGCCGGGGCTTCTTGAAGTCGCGAGTTGGATGAGCACGTGCCCACGCGTCAAGTCAAGTCACGGTGGATACCATCCCTGGGGAAGCTCCTGAGGCAACATTCCTTCGTGGAGCGAGTTCACAAGTTTCCAGACGTGAGTTTCCGAGAAGTACCTTCGAGAGCTTTCTGCTCCCAATACAGCACGCTTTGGACGAAGTTCGGACCGGAGGGGGGACCTGGCTCACGGTGATTTGGTGGACTGGACCTGTGTTGACGGAATCAGGATGTTATGCTGATTTTGTGGCAAACACCAAAGCTTTGCCCTTGCAATCCCGTCACAAGCAAGTGAGGCCAGCGATTTCAAGTCGGCCCAGGTCGAGTGATCGGCGCAGGTTCTTGAAGAGAAAGCGACGGGTCAGTTCGTCACGGGTGAGTGAGTGATGTGGATTGCCAGGGCAGCAAGATCCTGATCACTGCCACATGTAGGGTTCAACGCGCAGGTCTGTGAGAACTCGCATGGGATCGTATCCCAAATCAACTTCAAACCTTAGAAGTGAGAAAGGATTAACGATCCGGTTGAAAACAGCCCCACCTTGAAAAGTCACAGGAGTGAGAGGAGAGCCAGAGGAATGTCCAGGTGAGTGAGAGGAGACAGGCCTTGGCGTTCAGGTGAATGGCCAAATGAGTCCGTGCCTTCATCCTCGTCTCTAGATCCATTGCATCCACAGCGCAAGTGGAAATGGGCTGCTCCAAGTTCAGAGCGAGAAAGAAAACCAGGAACAGAGGAACAAGATGCTGAATACATTGGACTATACCCTCACAAAGGGCTTCTTCACGTTTAATAGAACACCTGGCTGCCCTGTGGAAGTCACACCACGAAGAAATCTTGGATTCGCAACTTTGGCACTTTCATGGTCATTCAGATCAAAAAGGGTCGCATTGAGGTGATCGACAGACATGGTGACATGGTTCTTATCTTTGCCAAGTCATTGAGCACCTTCCCGATCCTTTGAAAACTGATCGTTCCCAAGCCCTCCGGTCGCGTTGGAAGTTGACTGGGGCCGAACCCAGACGGCAATTGTCAGAAGGCCAAAGGGCAGTGACTCGGGCCGCGGGCTGGAGGCCCCAATTATTGCACCATCCGCGAGTTGTTGGAAAGTCTGAAGTTCAGAACAAACCCGTGATCCGTGATCTATATGTTTGGGGGCTGTTTGACCAAGACCAAGCTCCAATTGTATTCCAGAGAAGCGAAGGCGAAACGAGACAGGCTTCGGACGGTGAAAAACAGGCCTACTTGTATAGTGGACTTTCCTGGCGCGGTGGACAGCTTGCTACGGATGTGTGTGTGTGCGCACATGTGGGACTCATGCTTTCGCCGGCCAGCTACTGTTGAAGACTTGGTTGAGACGAGAAAGATTCTGAAAAGGGCAAAGGCCCGAGGAAAGGAGAAGATGTTGATCCACACAGCCAGCCCAAAAAGACCACGGGCTGTTCGCCACAGAACTGTGCCTGGATGTTGGTCTTCGCCTGAGACTACCAGGGCTTGCCCATCCCGCGCAGCGGCAGAAACAAGAGCAGCAGTAGACGGCGATGATCAAATGTTTTGCGGTTTGCTTTCAGCCTGCAGACTTGTTGGGATATCCCCCGAACATTCACGACTTGGACTCGTACGTTTCCAACGTTCCTGGAGTTCTGATTTCGGGCGCAAAGAGATTTTACGATCGGTTAACAACCTCGCTGACCGTCACGGTAGCGAAGGACAAGAAACAATCTTGAAAGCCTATACGTAAAGGAGCTCATTGCGATGGGTGAACGGTCAAAACTTTTGCTCTCTTCTCGCAACTGTCCTTGGAGGATTGCGGTGGCTTGAGGGATGTCAGGCCGTAAGAAAACAAAAGCTTAGAATCCGCTGGAGAGGTCTCATCTCGCAAACTACTCTTTTTAGGTTTGGGTCTGTACGTTCACGCAGGTTTCATCGACCATTGACAACCTTGACTCAAGCGCCGTCTCATCTGCGCCAACTAGAGGACTTGGCGGTTTTTGCGAGAGGGGTCAGACGGATTGCGCTTCGCAATGTTCGTATAGTGTATCATTTCTACATGAGCTGGCACGCTCTTTGAAATTGGAACTTGCCAAACATTGACTCCGCTCTGAACATGGCTCATAAAGATACAAATGTTCGACATTTGCTTCAGGGTCAAGTCACTTATATACAAGGGTGTTACCCTTGTTCTGAAATGGTATTTTTGGTCATTCCTTGTAGCTCCTTGTTCGGCGCAACACAATCTACACCAACGCATGGCGGGGCTGTTTTTTAATTATCCCGGCAAGAGACCCCAAACAGTGTGGGTCTGTAAGCAGAAAGTCTAGAGGTCTAGACGCATTGGGGTCCAGAGAGGTGATGGCGGTGATGAAGTGAAGGTGGGTGTGAGTGAGTGTGGGTGAGAGGGAGTGTGAGTGTGAGTGTGAGTGAAAGTGGGAGAGTGAGTGTGGGAGAGTGAGAGAGTGAGCATCTGACAGCACAAAGTACTGCCCCAGCCACGAAATCTGCACTTCAAGGTTCACCAAGCGCTGCGCCTGCCACGAAATCTACGCTTCGAGGTTCACCCAGCGCTGCGCCTGCCACGAACTCTGCACTTCGAGGTTCACAAAGCGCTGGACCTGTCTCGAAATCTGCACTTCGAGGTTCACCAAATGCTGCACCTGCGACGAAATCTGCACTTCGAGGTTCACCAAGTGCTGCGCTGCCAACGAACTCTGCACCTCAAGGTTCACAAAGTGCTGGACCTGTCACGAAATCTGCACTTTGAGGTTCACCAAGCGCTGTGCCTGCCACGAAATCTGCGCGTCGAGGGTCACAGAGCGCTGCGCCTGCCACGAACTCTGCACTTTGAGGTTCACAAAGTGCTGTACCTGTCACGAAATCTGCACTTTGAGGTTCACCAAGTGCTGTGCCTGCCACGAAATCTGCCCGTCGAGGGTCACAGAGTGCTGTGCCTGCCACGAAATCTGCGAACGAGCCACATGTCCAAAAGTCCCGATTCACTGCACCTGTCACGAAATCTGAGCTCCTCGACGATCATCACCATGTCCAAAGTGCTGCACCTGCCATGAAAAGTGCATTTCAAAGTAAAACACCTCCGATCCCTTGCACCTGTCACGAAAAGTCGGCTTTGGAGCACCAAAACACCAGGTTTCCCTTGCGCCTGCCACGAAAAGTGACCATGTGCGAAAATGCGCGCGGCACCACAACGAGAGCGCAGTCGCTAGAAGCACCCGCCGCGGGCCCTCAGATTCTGCGAGCCTGCGCAGTCGAGATGCACATTGACGATGTCGAGAGGCATGAATATACTGTAAATAGCAGCGAATCAGCCGCACACGCCCGCGCGCTTCAGCGATCTAAGCATCAGCTGCTTTTCACTTACCGTAAGAACCCCTCAGTGTGCCCACACTGCTTGGGGAAAAACTAGAGCCACGAAGACAGGTAAACGAGGTAATAGGTCAACCTTAATTGGCTGAAGTTTTCTGAGCTGTCCGACGTCCGACCTTTACATACTTCCGGCCAGTCCGTTCCGTTTCTGACAACGTTCCCATTCTGGTGTTCTTGTTGTTTGTTATTTTGTTATTTTTTCTTGTCCTCTCGCCTTTCCTTTCCCTGCTCTTTCCTTAGCCAGGCCTTAATCCGAGTTTTGCCTTTTTTACCTTTTCTCATGTACTTCCGTGTTTTCATCATTGACCTACCGTGTCCTTTCAAGTTCCCCGGTCTTTGGAGTCTCTGGTGTTTGCCACACCTGGAGTTTTGTGAGTGGTATTCATTGACGAGTGTCAATCAACAGAGAAACCTTTCATGGGTGAGGGCACAGTTCAAGATCAGTGCTGTCACCCAGAGGTCCCTCCTGAAGGCTGGCTTCAGATCCTTGCTATCGGCCCAGTTTGGCTTTGTAGCATATGTTTCAATCGATTGATTTTATTCAACCGAACGTTTGAAAATTTGTCATGTTCAATGGAGTTCAAAAGGGTCACAATCAGCACTCAGCAGTGAAATTTGTTTCGGTGCACCTCCATCGTTCCGTCATGCAGCCGTTTGGGCCTTGAAAACTGTCACTGTTCCTTCAATTGGATTGATTTCCAATCTTCTCAGAGCAGTCCTAGAGTTTCATGGTTAGTTTGTCATGTGTATATCTATGCGTTTGTATGCATAATTATATGACATGTCTGGCACATGCACAACATGTTGCATAGTTCAGTTTGGTTCTAATCGCTTTCACACCAAGACCTCAATCATGTCACTATCCGAGTATGGACTTGCAACACTGCGCTTTGTGTACACCTCTAAACTCCGGAGAGAGCTCCTTGGCGAAAAGTTGCAAAAGCAACTGTTGTATTTGTGTTTGTTTGTTTGTTTGCATGTTGTTTGCGTTCTTGTTGTGCTCCGGTTTGTGTGTAGCTGTGCAATTATCCTGGACGTCCCGCTCTGCAAGGCTGCAATACACGATCGCAAATTTGCGCCGAAGCCTTGAGTGGTCTGGGTCTGACAAAGATTGGCCTCTTCCACAACGCCTTCCACGCCGCGCTTGGCGAGTGAGCTACTTGAAGCGCCCCTTTCGGGCCAAGATATCAATCCGCACGGCTCTCAGGTCAACTTTACTGGTAAAAGCACAACAAGATGAAGCCTACGAACCCGAATGCAGGGCATTTTGAATGTCTCAGACTCTTCTGTGGGAGACTTGCCTCACACTTTATCTCAGACTCTTCTGTGGGAGACTTTTGCCTCACGTTTTTTGTAGGACACTCTTGAGCAACACTCTTGCTTGACACTCTTGGCACTCTTGTGACACACACTTGTGGAACGGACGTCTCCCCTCACGGAAGGGCCATAGTGGCCATAGTGTGATCATGCAGACGGTTCACAATGGTTGACCACGGTTGCAGATGGCTACGGTTGCCTGAGCAGCATCACGCGAACACAGCTCCACAGAGTCAAACGAGAACCCTGAGGAACAAGGGAAAGATATTTTCATGATGCAGTTGACCGGTTTACATTGGCAATGTATGACAATGTATTTTGCTTTGCCTTGAAGCAACACCAGGACCTTGACGGTTATCCCATGTTATCCCATATTTTGCCAAAATCATACCAATCTTGGCGGGCAATGCGGTAAAGTCAGGCATGTTCAAAGGAACATTCCCAGTAGTTGCAGCGCTCAGATGTGTGTTTTTGTCTGTGATCACCGCTGTGGGTTTGAGCGTGGGGTGGTCACAGTCATTTCACTTGCATTATTTTTCCCAGCCGAACCAGAGCATTGATTGCGGTGCTCACCTTGATGCAAAACAATGTTCTCCATGTTTGTTTGGCTCCTTGTCATGATTCCTCTATACTGGTATCCTGAGCACTAGAACGGGAACAAGCGCTGCACCAGATGACACTCAGCTCTGCACACAAACAGAAAGCAGTGTCAGTGTTTCCAACGGCTGCCAAGAGGTAGCGGATTTGCAGACCGACTTCTCGCTTCAGACATCTTGAGACAGAGCTCTGTCAAGGTCACTACGTGTTCCACGACTTCCGCTACCAGTTCACCTTTCGAGATGTGAAGGAACAAGTTGGCAAGATTGTCTGGAAATAAGTTCAAAAATCACCAGACAAAGACGTGAAACCAAAGTGAGGAGAAGACGTGCGATTTTTGGTGTGAACCTGTAATTTGTTCTTTGACTAATTATTTTGACTGGACACAGTTTTGCAGGATGTCCCAGCTGCGGTCAGCACGGTATTAGGCTCCATGACACCAGAGACTTCGTGCATATGCCATTTCAATTGGCATTTTGAAGGGGTCCCTTGGCAGCATTTGTGAGTGAAGTGATGTGAAGTACAATTGCGTTTTGATAAGTGTTAAGTCCTTTGAATCCACACAATATAGTACGTGCAGAACAATGTGCAGACTTCAAGTCACAAGCCTTGACGGTTATTATAGAAGCTATACTCAGCACTACTCAGTCAGTAGGTTTCGGGGTTGACTCTGCACAAGTGGCAAACAATCAGACAACTGATACTGTGCAAGATCGGAACACATACAACATGACTGATACCCCGAAAAGCAGCAGGCCTTTTGCTTTGCCTCCAGAAGATGAAGAATTGAACAGCGAAGTTTGTCAATGAAGGCTCCAACAACCTTGAAGTTAATCCACCGGCTGTAATATGTCTAGTCTACACATTGTACTTGCAGTCTATATATAATTATATATGTATTGTACTATTATATATACAGTATGTACTTGTATGGATATATAGGTAGAAAATGAAAACAGCGACGAGATCAAAGCCACCACAGTAATTGAGACCTTGAGTCTCAACAAGAGCGGTCAAGCAGCGCACTGTCATATGATTTTTGTTGAAGAAAGACTGCAGTAAAGGCTAAAACAAAAAGAACTGCCAGTCATCGCAAAAGGTGTGTGTTCATTGCTTCATTGACGCAAGGTATTCTTTACGCGGTGCCAATCTTTGCTAACGATTTCCTTAGAGTCAAACATTGAGGTACCGGCATACCACATAAAGGATGAGGAGGCCAAAGTCAAACGAGCTGATTTTCGCGGCGAAACAGCTGCAAACATGAGAGTGGGCACGAGGCTCAAAGGAAAGAAAGACATCGCCGCATCCTAGAGCTGGAGCAGGGAATGGCAAATGTGCAGCGAAAGCAGCCCTTTGATTGAAAAACACAAGTTTTCCAAGCTTTGACAAAAGTTATCGGTCGAATATTGTGATGCATTGTGAAGCTTGCTGCGGCCAAGGAGCGACGATGAAGAGAGGCAGAAGGGCTGGTATGGCCACTCAACGCTGTGGAACACCGGCCTCAAACGGGGTCCTTCTGAGTGAAAGATCTGGAGAAAAAAAATGCGAAAGGAGCGACACTGTCAAAAGCTGTGAGGCACATTGCTAGAAAACTGCTTCAGGCTTGTATCATAGCATTCTTTGTTGTCGCGAGTGGAGCCGGTAGTTGTTCCTGGCCTTTGAGGCTTGGTGTGGCATGTATGAGATTCTGATTAATCAGCATGACCCTCGGGACCAAGTAATTGAAGGCCGAGGTGGCTAAACTTGTCTTAGTGCACAAGAGGTCAAGGTTCGCACATACTCAAGACTCAAGAGTGCTGAGCTCCTGAAGAAAAAGACATTGTCCTGCTGTATTGCTTTTGGATGGCCTCATGGTCCATCTACTTGAGGATGACTATATGACAGAGCGGACTCTCTTGTTGCATGGAGAGGACTAGTGATGACTCATGACAGTAGCTGATGTTTGCTAGATCACAGGACCAGGCTGTCGAGCCAAACGGCGCGTGCTTGCAACAGCTCATGCTTGAAAGCGGTATGCCAAGGCCAAAGCACCCCAGTGAGCCTGGCAACTACTACAAGGTTTGTTTAAGGGCTGGGCCGAGCTGCGCTGGGGCGGATTCCGCAGGGTGCTGGTGCTCAAATTAAGCAAAGGATGATGTATATCTTCTTACTAGGATTCTTGTCGCTTCCTGTTTTGGAGCCTCACAATTCTGTCGATGTTCGACAGAGTTTATAGCTATTCAAGCAAAAAATGTAAACTTGCAAGACACAGAGAATGGAGGAGTTGAGCTGGTGAATGAGGGGACGTGAAGGAGCCCTCCCGCGTCATTTGCATTTGCATGTTCCTACAAATATGGGCGACTTTGAGCTCACGCTGGTTGAAGCAAGCTGCTCCTGCTTTGAACACGTCTCTTGATTCCGTGTGAATACTTGGTGCAAGAGCCCGCTGGAAACTGTGCAGGGACGGCTTGGCTTGCTGCCTGGAACGTGTTTGCCTTATTACATATTTGGATTCTGTTCTTGTTCATGTTTGCAGGATTGCAGATTGTCTTTGCGCCTGAGAGAGACAGTCAAAAAAAAACAGTGGCCTTTGTTGCCCAGGATGATTGTCGACCCTGAAAAGCGAAAGCACAAGCCCTAGATTTGGCTGGGTTTTGACAGCGACCATCGCATAGAGGCTGAGGTGGAGGTCGTGGAGGTCACAGTCGGCTGTTGTGAACATTGTGTGAATCTGACTGAGGAGATCCTTGAATGCAGAGATTGCCAATGGGCGTCTTGCAATGGTTGCCATCTTTTGGATGTGGATCCAGGCAGTTTTCTCTCCGCACACCATGACAAAAGATAAGTTCAACTCTTTGTAGGGCTCAGCAGCCGAGCAGATGCTTTTGTCAACTCTCCAGCAGTCGCGTGTTTTTGACTGGAAAACTCAACAGGCCCAGGCACATGTTGCAGGGACCAAGGGTCTTATCTTTGTAATGTACGTAGCGGTGAGTTTGCAATGGTGGAGGACTATGGATTTATAGGCATGGGTCCACTGTGCAGAGTAGTGCTTTTGGATTGGTGAGCTTCGCACAGTACCCTCGTAGCATATTTTATGTTTACTGATCTTTTTCCGCTTGATACTTGCAATGTGGCCACCTCTTGTGGAGTGTCGCCAGGATGGACTTCACGGAAAGGCATGGGGCGAATGGAACCCATGAAGTGCGTGGCTACGTGATGAAGACTAAACAGGTGTGAAGTTTCAGGTCCAGTGCTGGGCCTTGGTTTCAAGGGTGCAAAAAAGCGCTTTGCGTGCAAACACATTTGAACGATTGTAAAAGATTGTAAATGCATCAAAAAGCTGCTTGCATGTAAACAAGCTATACTTGGAGTGCTTTCTGCCAGCTCGCAAGAGGCCAAGAGGTTAGCTGCAGAGAAGAAAAATATCTTAGAAGGCCTTGAGAACCCTGCTGACCAAGTAGACGGCGAGCAATTCCCACGACTAAGTCCACGACGAACGAGCTACTGTAGTGTTTGTGTGGGTTGTGGATACAACCAGTACGTATGTTCCTCCTCGCAGCTGCAAGCTCATGGAAAGCTGCTCGAATGGTGCAAGAGCTCAAATCAATGGCCGTCATGGTGCTTATCGAAAAGACTATACTGACCTTCATTTACATTCAAGAATTGTGTCTCGACAGCCAGACACTTGGCAACCTAACCCTTCTGAAGAAAGTCAACATGAGAACGCTCGTTCGTTAGTCTATGGCACAATGCTCCTCAATGCAGATGGCGGCTTTTCACATCAACGACAAGGCACGACAGGACCTGCATCATAGCCTGGCCATATCGATTTCAGAATGAGCAGCCTTCAAGGCTTTGAAGGCTATATTGAACCATGTTGTTTTGGTGCTTGTTGTTTCCTTAAGCTGTGAGTTCAGCTGCTGTAGACCAGGCGAATGGCTGCCAAAGCTTGGCACTCGCTCTGAGGGTAGATGACCATTCATCAGGCCTTGAGTTGGAAGTGCAGCTTGAAACTGCTGCAGGCTTCCATTGTGTGTTTCTACCAGAATCTTGTAATAGGACTAACCTCTTTGTGCCATACAAAGAGTTTCGGATCAGTGGTTGCATTTAAGCCCGCATAAAAGCTGCTTTGTCCTGCAAAGCAACTCGCATTGTTGGGTGTGCTTTCGCTGCACGCACTTCTGCGCTCCTCAGTTGCCCTTTGCTTCCAGGTTTGCACATTCGACCCCCGTCCACCCGGAGTCCACCCCCTTCACTAATTCCAACAACGGGTGCTTTCTTCTTCGAGTACAGACACATTTCTCATGGACTCCACCACTCAGGGCTGCACTAAGGCACGGAGTTGGGATCGTGCGCGTGGGCTCGTTTTGGTGCAGCGCTTCATTCTGGTGGTTTGAGGGTGCCATAGGGTGCCCATGTGCGTGTGATGGACACTCTGACACCATTCTGACTTTTCCAGACATGACTTCGGAGGTGAAGGAGATCAGAGAGAGAGAGTGCAATTCTTTGGCAGGCGAAATACCATGACACACCCGACACATCTCGGCCGCTCGTTTGAATGACTCCCCAAAAAGTTGAACAGACGCATCCACATGGCGCAAGTAAGCCACCAATGTTATCCATACCCCAGCAACACTTCTAGAAGACGTGGCATGCAAAAGAAATGGCCGTAGGCAAGGCATAGAAGCACCTCCTAAAACTGCCCAGACTCTAAGATTGCGTTGAATAGTTGAAAGACTCTCAAGGAAACATTGGCCGACATGTCCAAAGGATCCACCTGAGTGATTCAGGAGAGTGACACATCCAAGCGACATATGACATATGTTTGAAAGGCATATCCCAACCACACATGATGTTATCTAAAAGTATTATTTACTGTAAGCGCCACTGGAGTGTGCCGCCGGCCTCCACGGCTGAATCCTGCTTGTTGAGCATGTGTCGGTTTGGTGTAAACAGTGGTTGGTGTAAATAACGGTGGTTGGGTGTAAACGATGGTTGGTGTAAACCGTGGTTGGATGTAAACGGTGGTTGGTGTAAACCGTGGTTTGGTGTTTACGGTGGTTGGTGCAAACGGTGGTTAGTTAGTGTAAACTGTGGTTGGTGTAAACTGTGCTTGGCGTAAATGGTTGGTGTAAACGGTGGCCTGTAAAACGGCGGTTGGCGTAGACCGGTGTAAACGATGGCTGCTCATCAGCATAATGGCCTTTACCTCGTCTCTTTCCTTTTCCTTTTCCTCGAGGTCTGAAAAATCTGCGGCCTGATCTTCCTTTTCCTTTTCCTTTTCTTCTTCCTTTTCCTTTGCCTTTTCTGGCTCTTCTTCCTTGGAATCTCCTCTGGAACCAAGAGAAATTCTGTTCATCATATACCCAAAAGACATCGTCCAGGGCATCTAGGAATCCTTCTGTTCCATCTTCTTCATCTTCGGCCCAATAGCCAAATGTACCATCGAGTTCTCCTTCGTCTAGTACGAGAAATGATCTTCTACCTCCAGCACCTGTTGGCTGCATAAGAGGATTGTCTACTGAAGTCTTTGTTGTGCAGAACATCTCAATGAAAACTGTCCTCAACTCTGTTGTGGTGTATTGCTGCAGGACTCTACCACGATGAGTCATCAAAGAAGTCAAAGTGTTTCGCTGGTCCTGAGACAAATCTGCAAGTGACAGCATGAGTAAGGCAATCAGATTTTCTCCCAAAGGAAAATCATTCTGATGAAAAGTTCTCATATTGCCATTGATGGTCTGCATGATTTCCTGAATCCTTTCTGCCGTTGGAGCTACTCCAGTCAACGCTGCATCAGCCTGCATCTGAGCTAGGACCTGAGGATGTGCTTGTGTGACTGGCTCTAACATGTCCATCCAACTGCTCATAAGCCTTTGGAGTAAAATCTGGAATCTTGTCATCCATTTCATCATGTCAGCTGATCCTCGATTGAAGCGCACGAATTGCATGAACCTATACAGGAATACATTGGTGGATCCTTTCACAAAATATGGTCGTAGTACTCTCTTGAAGTAATCTACTCCAGCTCCTGGTGGCTCATTAGCCTTCAATGCATCTCTGTCTAAAACTCGCTTGTATACAGCTGCTTCTCCTTCTAGTCGGTTTCTCAATGCTGGTCCTCTCTTCTCATCCTCCAGCTCGGTGATATCACACCAATCGTCTATGGCATCCTCATAGGAAAACCATGAAGTCTTTCCATCATAAGATGGGGGCACCTTTGTAGTGACCTGTGTTGTCATAGCTATCGCTGCTGGTTCTCTTCTCACATGCCTATTCACGTAGGCTGCTGGCTCATAAGCCACATCCGCATCAGGCTCTTCCCAGTCGTCAATCCAATCCATGGCCGTTTGCCCACAAGCAATTCTATGCCTAGGAAAGGAGCTCACCTGGGTCTTCCAGGATCACTGCTCCGCTACCACTGAAAGAGTGACTAGGGCGTACACGGTAGAGGTGCAGACCGCTAGTGTCTTTTGCTCACGCAGAGTCTTATCCTATATCCCTTGAGCCTTATGGCAGTCAAGCATGGACACACTAGATAGGCCACTGGAGTGGAACCTGTACAAGTAGGCCTCTACATTTCGGTGGGGGGGTGGGTGGGGATGGTTTGCTCATGGCCACATGATTACATTTTACATCCCTGCACTCCAGGCGGTAAGAAAATTAACCCCAGGCAGCGCGCAAATGCCTTGGCACAAAGCATCACCAGCATCATGAGTGTGGTGGGGTGGTGCGCGCTGCGGGCAAAAAGGCGTCACAAGCGACGAGATAATCGGCGTCACAAGCGACGTGATTCGAGAGCCTCACCCCAAACCACAGTTCACACCAACCACTGAATACACCAACCACAGTTTACATCAAGCCACCGTTTACACCGAGCCCCGGTTTACACCAACCATCGTTTACACCAAGCCACGGTTTTCACCAACCACCGTTTGCACCAACCACAGCTTACACGAAGCCACGGCTTACATCAACCATTTACACCAAGCACCATTTACACCAACCACAGTGTACTGTACACCAACCACGGTATACACCAACCATCGTTTACACCTATTACACCAACTGCCGTTTACACCCACCACCGTTCACACCAAACCACGGTTTACACCAACCACCGTTTACACCAACAACCGTTTACTCCAACCACCGTTTATACAAACCACAGGGTAACCACAGTAAACGCCCAACCACAGTTTACACCAACCACCGTTTACACCAACCACTGCTTACACCAAGCCCCGGTTTACACTAACCATCCATCGACAACTTATCCAGAAGAGTATTATGAAGAGAATCCTTATGAGGACACTTGGGAGTCAAATCAAGTAGCATATGATGCTATCATTGCCGAAGATATGAATGACTATCTTCAAGGAGAACATGAAGATGCCAATGACTTTTGGCAACAACTTGAAGAAGCATGGTTTTCCCACAAAGGAAAGGGAAAAGGCAAGAGAAAAGGCAAGAAAGGAAAAGGAAAAGATAAAGGAGATGGCAAACAAGATGCAAACTATGCAAATCAACAACAGCCACGTTCTTTACCTGCACCTTCAAGAACTTCACAAGCATCAGGAAGCAACCAAGGTTTCTTTGCGCATTGTGTGACAACGGTAGCTGAAGTCCATGACAGTGAGGTGGACTTGCTGTCAGGCATGATGACCTCATGTCAAGATGAAGCTGACTGTAATGTCAACAATGGTGAGACGATCTTCGATGGCATGAGTGCCCCTGTGAGGTGCTCTTTGTCAGAGGAGATGCTCACAGATGCTCCTGATGGCTTTGCGCTTATCAGCGCTGAGGAAGAAGTGAAAGAGATGCAGGCTATTTCATTTTTGACTGAGAATCGCTTCCCGCCAACTATTGCAATCCTGGATATTGGATGCACTAGAGCTATGGGATCAAGGCGTGCAGTCGATTATTTTTGTAACTATGTCGACAATCATCCAGACTGTGGACTATGGTACTCTTTTGAGTCTACCAAGAGCAAGTTTTACTTTGCCAATTCTCAGAAGGCTTCTTGCTCTCAGAAACTGGTGATTTACATGTATGATCGTGCATGGACGATCCACCATACAGAGTTTGACATAGTTGAAGAAGGAGAAGTCCCTTTGCTTATGAGCTTGCCACAGATGAGGAACTTAGGCTTTGAACTCAGGCTGACACCTCAACATGCTTACCTGACATCGGTGCCTCTTGGTATCAAATTTTTGGAGTTGAAGGTTGCAGCCAGTACTCATCTTGTTTTGGACTTCCAAGATATAGCATGGTATCTGTCTGACGTGCGTTTGCAGACTCGGCGTGAGAAGAGTTTTTACTCTCACTTCACTCACTATGAATATGGCCATATTTCTGTTGATCACAATAGTGATGAAGATGAAGCTGAGCATGCATATCCTGTGGTTGATTACTGGGAAGTAGATCTTCACAAGAGAGAACTGACACGTCACCACAAGGATGACAGAAAGATCCTTTTCCCAGCAACTAAGTCATGTCCTGTAGACACTGACTTGCTGGAAGACTTGCGACTGACAATCATCAAGAAGAAAGATGGAGGAGAAGAGATCAAGAAGCAAGATGATTGGCGCAAGGCAAAATGGAAGGACCTACAAATTGGCTATGAATGGCGTGGTAGAACAATTTTTAAGTTCAAGCCAGATGCCAAAATTCCAGATCTAAAGATCAGGAAGGCTGGCATTGAGCACCGTGGCATTGGTGATCCCGATGCAGTGGTGCGCTCCTCCTCAGAGAAGGTTCCCATTGCAAAGGACAGGGAACCAGGCTTCTCATCAGAGAAGGAAGGTGCACCATCCAGTGCCGCGGAAAAGCCTGCGCCGCCAAAGTTTCGGTATACGTCCAAGGGTTTTGATCCATGTTGGAAAGGACACAAGTCGAAACCATCTGAGCCTCCAATTGATTTAAAGGGTGATGATCCTGAAGGGTATACTCCCTCAGAACCACCTGAGAGGCCAGAAGGTGAACTTGT